ATAAGTGCATGTACAGACATAGTTACATGTGTATATACATTTTCTTGTGTTGTTATATAAATTTACTGACCTCTAATGGTACTTAACTGGACCTTCTAATGTTTAAGCATAAGTATATTATTAAGTATATAACTATATTTGATTAAAGTATATGAATTTTTATACTGCATATATAAAAGCATTGGAACATTGTAATGGGAAGGCATCTGATAGACTGGGCACCCTGGCACCTCCATTCACAACTCTCCCACTATACCCTCCCCCACACTTGTGAAGAGCCTGTTCAGTATGCTGCCAACATCCACTTTAGTTCTTCTTTGCAGTGGTTTAATTTATGGGCAAATGGAACCTACTTTGACTTTTCTCAGTAGCTCAGCCTATCAGGAAGTGTGTAAAGTTAAAAACCTCTCAGAGCGGATTGATTCAGCAAAGAAATCCAACCCTTGTTTAATTTATATGGAAATTAGGGAATCAACAGGAGTAAAAGACCCACAAAGAAAGAAAAACAAAAAGGAGAGTTTAGCAATTAATTTGAAGATGTTTTTCTAAATTGATTGTCTTTCCAGTCTGGAATATTCACACAGAATAGGGCAGAAAGAAATAGGTCATAGTTTAATAAAACTAAACAAAGGCAAATCCAAAATGTTAATCTGCATTTAGCTCCATTGCTCTTTAGATAGTTATGTCATTTTTGGTTCTCCAACTTCCAGATCCCTGAGACTTAGGGCTTTGCTTATGTGTCTCTGAGCCAGCTGGGAAAGAGCTGCTCTGCTCCTCCCATGAGAAAGGAGGTACAAGGAAAAGTTAAGCCATGTGAATTTTCATACTCCTTATTGGTTCTTCAAAGTTTGAATTTCTCATTGAATTTCCCTAATGGTCTCTACCTGCTATCTAGATTGATAGGCTTATATTTGATGGACAGATCAGATTTAAATTTTCTTTTAACTCTTTGTGTCTGAACCTCTTGGGATGGGATTTCTCCCACATGCAACAGAAATATACCTACAAAATTGATGATTGGAATAGAAGCAAGTTGAATTAGTTTATGGTTTGACAGAGAAATGTGTTACCTCAGGCCTTGAAATGGAAGTTTAGGAAATAATTATAGCCAGGCCTATTTGTTGACTACCATTCCTGTAAAGGCAATACATTCTATTTTTGTGCAAAAGGAAAGCAAAAATGCTTTCCAATGGCAGCTCTTTTTTACCTTAAATAATGCTGTTTAGGAGGACTTCACAGTCCAAGGAAGGGTTTCTTTGCAGGCATGATGTTCATTTGTTCAAGAGTCTTTTCCTCCCAGGAGGTTGACAGCCATGAATGTCCACTGTGTCCGCTTTGACTCATGGTTGAGTACAGGACACAAAGATGTAGTGAAGCCCCAGTGTCTTCCATGTTCTGTGCCATTGACCAACTCAGATTGGTTCCCTCACATGTAAGATTATTTTCCCTCACATGTAGGACCTCATGGCCTAGAGACTTGACACTTCCCTCCTTTCCCCATGGGCAAGTAGGGCTACTGCTTAAAGGCTACTTCAGAAAACCTGTATTGTACCTTGAATATTTTGATTTAATATAGCATTGTCAAATATTTGATACCTCGTTATGTTTTTATTGTGCTTCATTTTGCACAAATACTTGAATAAACACAGTGGTAACTTGGAATGGAAGGCCCTCGAAGCTAACCAGATGAACCAAAAAACAGCTGAGATGGATACATTATTTCTGACAAGTTTGTATTAACAATTTCTGCATATCAGATGTTTAGCATTTAACCTTTTTTGTTAGAATATCTAATATTTCAATTTACTTGAGTTCTCCTGTTCAGTGTCCTAAATAAGATGTTAGTTATTAGCACAACAAATATAATTCTGTTCCTCAGTACAGAGTCCAACGTTTTGAAAACCTTAGGAGTTTTGTGTAAGTTGTTAATATTGGGCATGTTTGGAAATAACAGAATCTGTCGTGTACTTTCCAAAATATAATTCACTTAGAATTTATATAATTGGCATTTCTATTATCCTTCATTTGAGTCTTGAAATCATGCCCAGTAAGTTTACCCTCAAGTCAAATTCAACTCCTGGTGGCCACATGGATATGTCTGTGCAGTTTTTGTGGCAACAGTACGGAAGTGGCTTACTATTCCTTCTTCCATGTTTTTTTTTTTCCTTCCTAATTTTAGCCTATAGCCCTGAGATTTGTGGAAGTGCTTCCATCCTGCTACTAACTGGGTCTGACCTGATTTAGCTTTGTTAGGTTCAGTCAGTATAGGCTAGGTGCTTCTACCTCTCTGACATCTCCCTTATAGTTTCCCCCAATTAGATCAAGAAGTTGTATTAGATTTCTATCACTTTTTGCTGGTAAAATGTTTTGTGTTGTAATACAATGGAAACTTTGAACTATTTTCTTCTAAAAGATACATAAATTATCTATGAACAAATATACTGATGTCTTTAACAGGTCATTATACATACTTCTACATTAGGAAAAAAAACCCCTGGTTCTGTAAATATTAATTGTTCAGTGAAATACTCTAAAAAGTGTTTTTATCATGTTTCAAGCCTTTGTTGGGGGAAAAAATATTACAAAAAATGACCGTGTCCTTATTTTACCTTTCTGAGGTATCTCCCTGTATTGATTGAGAAAAATGGAGGTATAATTAATCAGAGAGAAATAGAAAATGAGGCTACTGTTTAGTGCACACTTATTTGACAACAGATATTTATTTCTATATAGACTTGGATTGCATTGTAAGTTGTATTTTAAATTATAACCCATATAGAAATTTTTCTCATGCAGATAAATGGTGGCAATTTTTTGACAAGAACAGATGTACCTTCTGACTTTACTAGGGTACAGTATTTCCAATTAATTTGTGGCAGTTAATACTAAAACACTAAGTGATTTGCTTTAGGAAATGTATTAAAGATTATTAACTGCAATTCTTTTATTTGCATGCCATAACAATTTCTAGTTTATGTGCTCTATACTTCTGTTGCTTTTTCTACGCTATTGAGAAGACAAATTTTAGTTTAAAATTTAATTTGGATTAATATAATGCTGTAGCTCTTATAGAGCAAGCTATACTAATAAAGTTAGTTTCCATAGCAATGTACTAAAGTACTGCCTCATTTTGCAAAAAAGAAATACTTTATGTATCACCCTAAAACAATGCTACACCGTGCTGGGTTTTAAGAACCTTGAATTGGTTTAGGAAGAAGAGTTGGAATTTGGAGAGAAGTATACTGATCATGAGGTGCAGAATACTGTAACAGAACTGGAGATGATGAAGAATGAATTAGCTGGAAAGCAGCAAGAGATTGAAGAGCTAAATAAAGAGCTAGAAGAAATGAGGGCAGCGTATGGTACAGATGGATTGCAACAGGTATAATTACCTTATGTTGCTTTCTGCATGCTTGATACAATCTGAGTTGCTGAAGATGTTGAATTTTTGTTTCATTTACTGATACTAATATTAGGAGTATCAGTATAATTATTGCTTCAGCTTCCATGTTTTTCGGTTCACTTCTTAATGAGTTTTTATTTTAATTCTATAAATAATAATAGATATTTTTTTCTCAAATGTTCCCTGTTTTTATTAGACAAAGGGCAGTGAAACTAGCATTCCTCTTACAAATCAAGAAGAAGGTTGATTACCTAATGGTGCAATAAAGATTTATCTACTACTTGGAACCTGGGTAGTATATAAAGCTATGCTAATTAATTAAATTACTAGCCCACTTCTTAAGATAGGAGAACACCAAGATTATGTCTGCACAATAGAAACTGTATTCACATAGGTGTCATTTGCATTCTGTGCACGTTACACTGTTGTGCATATTGCCTTTAATACACATCTATCCCTTATCCATCCCTCCAGAGTTACTGATGAGGTAATGATGAAAAATAGTCAAGTCATTTGTTCAGCATTTCAAAGAAGGCAGCTTTGCCCCATTTTTCATATTATACTCTGGCTTCTCTTCAGATTGTACAAATCTTTTTGCCTTTTTTTCGTATTATGACAGATATGAAGATTGCAGGAAGATTTCAGAAAATGCACCTGGAGGGTGTTTGTGTGCATGTTTACTATTAGGCATTGTACACTTATGCAATAGGGTAGGCCTTTGGGGTGTTTTGCCTTGTAACCCATTGCATTTGTGAACTGATAGATAAAAAGAAGCACTCCTTATTTGAAAAGAAATAATAAAAAAAAAGATGTTGAACTATGGAAGATGCTGAAGTAATTTTTTGCAAAACCTTACTTGTAAAACTTTATTTTTATATCTAAGGTATTTTAAGTATGCCAGGGTTTTGTCAGAATCTGTTACCACTACTTATCTCAGCAAAATAGTTTGTGCATTCTGTGTATCACCATTCCATCCCTCATTGTTCTTGCCAAATATTATTCCAGAAAATGTAAGTATTCTCTGCTACATCAAGGAAATGTAATATTTGATATGTGATATATATACCAGCACCACAGCCTTCTTTTTCTTGGTCACTGTTCTGATAATCCAGAATGTTCTTTTTAAAGTGCAGACATTTGCCTAAAATACTTAAAAGCATAGAAATGTTCCTTAATGAGCTACACCATAGGGGGTCCCAGGCCACCCAAAACTGAAATTATACCATGTAATAACGATTAGTAATAAATAGCCATAGCTGCTGCTTATGCTTTGTTGAAGCAGTTGTGTTTTACATCTTTACCTTTAATTAAATTATTTAGATTGTTAAAATATTTTATTTAGGAGTCCTTCTAAATACAAGTTCGGAAGAATGTAACATTTACAGAAAGAAAACATCTTCTCTTAACAGTTTCTAGGAACAGAAAAAGTTGGAGTTTTTCAGAGTGTAGTTTATCATGCTATTTATTTGTCTAATTAGCTTAGATGTGACTCCGCTACATTATACCAGTTTGTATTTTACTAAATTTAGAATGTAACACTGTTATTCTAGGTAGTGCATAAATGCTTTTCAATAAAAGATAAATGCTCAATGAAAAATGACTTTATTAGAATTTTTTTTTAAAAAAAGGTCTTAATGTTAAAAACTTATGTTTTAAAATCATTGGGTTGGTTCAGTAGTTGTAGGAGAGAGTATTTACTGAAGTTTCAGGCATATGAATTTTAAAAAGCCAGGATATAATTACAGTTCTTGTCTTTCCTCATCTTTCCACTATCTGTTACTATATAGTCTTTTTGATATCTTGTTCTTGTGTTTGACCATTTAGTATCACAAGTACATTTTATGATATTCATCAAAGAAGGGCTGAAAGTAATTTCAGTATAGTTTGATTTAAAAAAAAAAAATCATTCAATCGTGTCTGATTCTCGTAGACTGCCTGGACAAGTCCTTGCAGTTTTCTTGGCAAGATTTTTCAGAGGTGGTTTGCCATTGCCTCCTTCCTAGGGTTGAGAGAAAGTGACTGGCCCAAGGTCATCCAGCTGGTTTTGTGCCTAGACAGGACTAGAACTCACAGTCTCCTGGTTTCTAGCCTGATGCCTTAACCACTACACCAAACTGGCTCTCTAGTTTGGGTAACTGATAGTAGATACCATAATATACTAGAGTGCGTGTATAGAGATCTGACAGCATAATTGATTGTCATCAGTTAGAAAAGTATAATATACTAAGATGTTTGCTAAATATGGTTAAACTTTTCAAAAAATATATAGGACTCTGATTTAAACAATGTGGGAATCAACTAGTTTATAAAATGAAAGAACTCAAATCTCGTTTATAGTTATACATAATCATCATACAGTACAACTTTCTTGATTTTCTTAATGTAGCAATCTTTTTGAACTAGCTTTTTTCAGTGCCAAAATTGAAAGAGAAAAATAACAAGCTCAAGGTGAAAATGAAGTTACTTAAAGATTCCAGTTTGTAGTCTAATCTTGCAGTACCATTTCCTTACTTTTCTATTACCATTTTCATAACCCCATCCCATCTAGTGCAATGGATAGAAGGAGACATTAGGTTTATGCTTGCTTTTTCAAGCTTGAGCTTCCCCATTCCCTGTACTTCTAAAGCTGAACATAGCCTCCAAGCCCTGAAAGGGAAACCAAGGCATCTTCCAACTTAAAACTGCATTTTGGATAGATGAGGTTGTGAAGACAGTTTCCTAAGCTGATAAAACATGTCTTGCATATTCCACCGTATTTATTTCAAAACAACAAAAGAACTTTCATTGGATTCAATTTCTTTTTTAACACTGTTCCCAGTTGTCCTTTTGTTTTATCTATTTGCAGCACAATTTTTGAACTATTGCTAATTGTTTGAAGTTTGAACTTGCTGTGTTTTAGTCCTCTGGATTTTAGACCTATTCAAGGGAGTATATAAAACTAAGCAGTCCGACATTCTTTTGCAAACATTCAAAAATTGATTTGAAGCTTGTGCTGAAAAACTGTAGTTCTTGAAAAACTGTTTAGAAATGTAAAAAAGTGTTCATAAGCTACTAATATTAGAACGATACTGCCATACCCTGAGACAACAAAAACCTATATTTATATTAGCATTTTAAAGTATTAATTGGTAAAACAATGTCATTAGCAAGGAAAGTGATATTCTGTTATATCTATAGAAGAGAATATGTATAGAGAATATATGTAGCTCAGAATTGAACTTGGAGTTCTTAGTGCTCTCTGAGCTTGGTTGTTTTCCTGCAGACATTTCATTACCTGGCTAAGTAACATTATTCAGTGCTAGGGAGAGTGGGGTTTGCTGGCTATTTATATATAGTAGTTTGCCCTGCCAGTTTTGGTGGGTGTTTGGCTTCCTCCTTGATGAAACAATACGCTAATCAAGGAACCATCAAAGAGGAAGTCAGCAGAGCCCATTCTCCCTCACACTGATAATGTTACCTAGCCTGGTAACCAAACAACTGCAAAAAAACAAGTTCAGAGAGCATTCTGTTATACCTTTATACTAAAAATGTTTTGTTTGTGTGTTTTCTAAATATCTGGAAATATCTGGAATGGAATGCATCCAAGACTCACGTGAACTGATATAGAGCTCCTTTTTAATGGTATTAATATTTTAACATGACCTTTTCTAGCTGCAGGAATTTGAAACTGCTATCAAAAAAAGAGACAACATTATAACTCAGCTCACTGCTAATCTGCAGCAAGCCAGGAAGGAAAAGGATGAAACTATGAGGGAATTTTTGGAATTGACAGAACAAAGTCAAAAACTGCAAATTCAGTTTCAGCATGTAAGTACTGACAATATTTTCTTAGCTATTAAGATAAAAAAAAAGATTAAATCATTTATTGAAGGAAAAATGTATATGTTTCTATTGTCTTCTCTACTTTCCCATTAGTAAGACCTATTTTTGAGGTAATGGATTGATTTTGATTTTATATATTATTCAGTGATTGAATTCATATTAAGCTTTCACTCTGTGAATAACACTTTCAGTTCTCTAGTCTTATGAATAATGGCCCTTTCATTCTATCCAAACTACAAATTAAGTGAGCCTTTCAAATCAGAATGACAAGCTGAAATCAGTGCTGATTTAGAGGGTTCACTTAAACTGTGGTTTGGCTGTTCTGATTAAAGTGCAAACTGTGGTTTGATCAAACTGGACTTTTATTTAACAACTTGAGCTGGAGAAGAATGCATATGAAGACAGGACTCACTTCCAATCCTCTAGACCACAGTTTGGAGAATCAGAATCCTGTTTCCTAAATAAAGCCTCTGATTTTGAAAACAAACATTTATTATACTATTGACAATAAAGGTTTGATAACTATTAGGCTAAACTCTTTTGTCCCCAGCCTCTGCTCCATTCATAAATCTCATATATGGATGTTTTCTCCATGGTGTTCACATAATAGATATTTGATAATATAAGTGGCAAAAAGCAAATCAAATTAAATTTAAACAATCAAGGCTAAGTGCAGTAATTAAAATAAGAGAAAGAAAAATGGATTTGTTATTAGTATCTTAGTCATATCCCAGTTATTTTAAAGGATTTTTTATTTGTTATTACAGTGATTATTTCTGGTAAGACTGTGTTCAGGATTTGGTTTAGTAACAAATGTATTAATTCTTCACAATATTTATAAACCACCCCTGTCATACTGAATCTGCCCAGTATACAATAAATCAAGAAACATCAAACACTTAAAAAAAATAATAAAGATAGTCTCCCCTAATTGGGTAAGGGCAAGCTTGAACAGTACAGTTTTCCAGGCCTTGTGAAATGCAAGGAGGCTAAACATGTCTCCAGCAGGGGGAAAAATCAAAATCATGGAGGCTCCCATCAAAAAGCTACATTGTTTATTTAGACCAGTTAGGAGCATTTTACTGTCTATATTGTTTTGAGCAATTAGGAAGGATTCTGTTAGTTCTCCTTGAAAAAAAGGGACATACCCATTTTGTTCATATTCTAAATCCAGTGAAGGGATAGAATATACAAGACATAGAGAAGGAAAATATCCTAAATGCTAGTTATTTGAGTAGAAGAAATTAAGTTCTTTTTGAATTCAATAGATTCATAAATGTAAAATGGCTTGCTGGAAATATTAGAAATATTTTTTCTAAGAAAAGCAATATGTAAAACAGCTGCCTTGGGGGGAACCATAATATGTGGAATTACATTAGTTTAAAAAGATATTGAAAAATTTAGTTACGTATTCTTTAATAGACTTAGCATCTATGTATTAGTTTCAGTTGAACATACTAGCAACATTCTATTGCATGCATGTGTCTGAAAGTGTGGCCAATATGTTTTTAATGTATCAACTAATCATAGGTGCCCCTGCATGAAGTTCCATCATCTTTTATAATCCCAAAATGTATATCCAAATAAGTTCATTCTTTCTCAGGATAAATTATTCTGGCCCATAGTTGATTGCATCAGAGAAGGAAGTTATAAAAATTCAGAAGGAAAGGAACTTGTAGGATTGCTAATATTTTGCTCTTCACAGTGTATCTGAGAATAAGAATGTTTCTGCTATAAAGTGCAAACTATATGCCTTTGTGGGAGAGAAATCAAAAATGTATTACTGAGAATACTTTCTTTGTAATTTGAGAACCACTTTTTCGAACAGTGTCTCTTAACACATTGTTCTGTTCATAAGTTGCAGGCAAGTGAAACTTTAAGGAACACTAGTCACAGCAGTACAGCTGCTGACCTACTACAGGCTAGGCAACAGATATTTGCATATCAGCAACAGCTCGAAGAACAGGAGCAGCTGTTGAGGAACTATCAGAAGAAAAATGATGACTTTGAAGTACAGGTTTCTCTTCTGCAACAGAAAATCACTGACTTGGTTTGTATTTTAAGACCATACATTTTGTGATAGTTATTGTTTAAAAGATGTTTAAAAACTGGTATAATTGTTTGTCTGCCACATAGAGATATACAAAATAAAACATGGGATGAGGAGAATTGAATATTTACATCTGAAGTATGTATATGACTTCTTCTTGCACCAGACAAGTCTCAGTTTGCCAGGTTAGCCATGATTAAAACATACAGTGGGAATATATACTGTGGAATGGTGGATAATGAAAAGGATCATCCTGCAATTTTCTTCTTATTCAGACATGTATTTCTGTGATTTGCCTATAATAGAACTGCACTGGCTACTAGTTTTTATTTTTATGCTTTTAAAACTTTAATCATATTTGGTTAATTATATAGCACCTGCTGAATAATGTTTTACTAAAATTATGAAATAAGCAAAAAATGGGATAAATTGTTGGCCGGCATGATGTATCTATGAGTCTGACCCAGTTTATGCAGCCTACCTGCAGCAAGAATACCTTAGTTTTTTTAACCCTTGTTCTTTTAACTTCCTTGCTGGGGTTGTATAACATGGTAAACTAGGCAAAAATGAGATTGGGTACCATGTTATGGAAACCTAGCCATTGTCTTAGAATATGTTTTGAGAATAAGATTATGACATTAAGACCTACTGTAGTTTATTTGTGTGGATATAGTGTATTATTGAGTAGAGCAGTTATTCTTTTCTTAACCCAGTTTTAGGATTTAATGTATTATATGAATCCAGATCCTTTGCTCACTGTATTGACATTTTTATAATGTGTTCTTCTAACTCAAAATCACTGCTTATTTTCTTAGTAATACAAAAGTTAATACAAAACTTAAGAAATCTGAGATATATGAAAGTAGGACAGGTTAGAAATTTTATGGTAAATAAAATAAAGGAATTGTTTTTATTATAGGAAAAATGGAAAGCTGAAGAAGATTGTTCTAAGAAGAAGAAAATGCAAGAACAACAAACAACTATTGAAGAACTGGAAGCAAAACGTATAGAACAAGAAGAAAATATATTTCTTTATCTGAAAAAATTATCAATTGCTGAGAAATCTCTAGAGGAATTAAAAGAAGAGACCTTTCAAAAGAATCAAGAGATATATAATGTGAGGCTTGAACTAACAACTTCTAAACAAAAAGAAAGGCAATGTTCTGATGAAATAAAACAGTTAATGGGAACTGTGGAAGAGCTGCAAAAGCAGTGTCACAAAGATACCCAGCATGAGAATGATATTATACAAAAAATGGAACTTGAAGCCCAAAGGAAACTTGCAGACCTCAGGGCAGAATTAGAGGAAATGCATGGCCAGCAGATTGTACAACTGAAGCAAGAGTTAATTAGAGAACATTCAACAGAAATTGAAAAGCTCCTTGCCCAACAAAAAGCAGATCTAGAGAGAACTTCGAATTTATGCTCTGATAATACTAATGAAGACCAAATACACTTAATGAGTATTGCAATTAATGACCTGAATCAGATGCTTCAGGATGCTAATTATCAGAGAGAAAAAGTAAAACAAGAATTGTCTGAACAGGTTGAACAGTTGTCCTTGGAAAAATCTTCTCTTCAAAATCAAGTGGAAGATCTTTGTCAAGAGCTGAGCTTTGCAAGAGAACAAATTCAAAGAGTTAAGAAGACTATAAATGAAAAAGAATCCAAATTACAGGAAGTAGACATGTTAAAAATCAGTATTGGAGATCTAAAAGCCCAACTTGCTTCAGCCTCCGAGATCAGGGAAGAACTAGAATTAAAACACGAGGCAGAAGTTACAAACTACAAAATAAAACTTGAAATGCTACAAAAAGAAAAGGATGCTGTTTTGGATAGGATGGCAGAATCTCAAGAAGCAGAACTAGAGAGATTGAGGACTCAGCTTTTGTTCAGTCATGAAGAAGAGTTATCAAAACTTAAAGATGATTTACAAGTAGAGCATAAAATAAATATTGAAAATCTTAAAGATAATATGGCTATGCAAGCTAAACAGCAATTAGATGATTTACAAAATGAAATGAGCAAAAAAATAGAAGATGTGCAGTTTGAAAATGACAACTTAATAAAAAATCAGAATCAACTCACATTGGAAATATCAAGACTAAAAGATTTACATCAGTCTACTGTAAACTCTAACTCCAAAGAAATGATGCTTCTGGTACATAACCTCCAGAAAGAGATAGAAGTTCTTAAACAAGAAGAAAGGGAAAATGGTATACTTGAACGGGAAGTTCAGGAGTTACAACTTAAAACAGAATTACTTGAGAAACAAATGAAAGAGCAAGTTCATTGTCTTCAAGAAAAGTATTTATTGCTTGAAGCACAAAATAATGTTCTTCAAGGTGAAAATAAGGTTCTGCAAGAGAAATTAAACAAATACACATTTAGAAATGTGGAAGAGAACTTGATTTTAACTAGTGGCATTAGTTCTAAGACAGAGGATTTTGATTTACAAAAAAGAATAGAAAAATTAATAGCTGAAAATGAAAAACTTGTACAACAAGATATTAAACAGAAGGAAGAGATTGATACACTGAAGCACTCTTTTTCATTTGCTGAAATAAGTTTTAAGCGTAATTACCAAGAACTCCAAGAAAATTATGCTTCCCTTTTAATGGTAAAATTGGATTTAGAAGAGAGCAAGGACAAGAATGAAGCTGAATATAAAATCAAGCTCCAGGCTTTGATGGAAAAGATCCAGCATTTACAAGGAGATTTTCCAACTGGGTTGGAAACTCAAAGTACAGTTGTTCACAGTAAGAGAGAAAAAGTTTTAAAATCAGAGATATTTGATTTTGAGGAAGTTGTAGAAAAAGACACCACAGAACTTATGGAAAAACTTGAGGTCACTCAACGTGAGAAGTTAGAACTTTCATTAAGACTTTCAGATCTTTCTGAACAGTTAAAATTAAAGCACAGTCAAATCTGCCAATTAAATGCAGAAGTTATGTGTCTAAAACAAGATAAAGAACACATTTCAGCAAGGTGTAAAGAACTAGAAATTGTAGTTAGTCACAGACTGGAGGAGAATATGAACTCTTATGAACATGAGACAAAAAACTCCAGTGGAGAACGAGCCAAAGACCAGTCTACAGTTAGTGAACCTGGAAACTTTATTTCTGACCCCAAACAAGAAATTGACAGATCAATAAGAGAAAAAGAAGGGAAATTAATATCAAGCCAACTTTTGGCTCCTAACATTCCAGCGGAAGAGATACTTCAACAAAAGCTAAGTCCAGAACCAGAATCACTGTTGGATAACGTTAATCAAATGCATGATGAAATGACAGGAGATTCTGTGTGTGTGAACTTTATGCAAGGTGAAAACAAGGTTAAGGAACAGCTGGATATGTTGAAAGCTGAACAGGTATGAATCCAATATATGAATGTGTGAATATATGTATTTATGCATGCCTTCTCAGTAGGCTAATATGTGCTAATAAGGACATATTATATAAGGGCTTTCTCTTGAGGAATTAAAGTTAGATTTCTGTTTGATATGATTTTCCTTGAATGCGTGAAATTCATTCTCAGGTATCTTGGGTAAATTAATTAAATAGCTTTGAGCAGTTTAACTGATTTATTTTTAACATGGGTTTGGTCTGTTGAGTATATGTTTAATTGAAATGTTGAAAGAAGGCACATATTGAGTGTAACCAAGATGTTTAAATTACTGTTTAAATCAGTAGAGGAAGTATAAAATATGTAGGATTTTATTGTACAGATTTTGAAACTTATATTTATTTAGCTCCTATTAAATGAGAAAAGTAAAATTATGAATGACACAATTATATTAGAAAAACAGTCTTTACATTTTGGATTGCAGTAATCACTAGCCCAAAATTTAGGGGCACCAAGTCATTAGGTGCTTGCAAATTAAAATTTTAATTATGCTTCAGTTTTTAAAGAATGGATGAAATATCCTGAGCTTTTGCCAGTTTTGCAAGATTTTATGAAAAAGCAGATATATTGTGTGTGATTTCATTAAATCTCTTATACCTTGGCCATTGCACAATATCACATGATGTTGCTGGGTGTCCCAAAAAATTCACCACTCCCTAGTAGATAGAATCCAATGATTTTACTAGTACTGAGTTTCAAACACGTGAGGCACTCTCTTTTTCCATCTTTTTGTAATGTCAAATCCAATGATTAGATTCCACCCAAGTGGGTTATTCAACATATTACAACTATGTTATGCTGGAAATCACTTACATTTTCTATTATAACATGTACAAATATTAGCAGAATTCTGCTGTTTCTTGTACTTTTCTCAGGAGCTTAAAGTTTTGCAATATTCAGGTTTGCAATATTGTTACCTTATTTTGATATTAGGCCTTTTAAAAAAAAGTAATTCCAGCTTGTTGGTTTGATTGTTTGATAACATATATTATGTTAATCTAGGTTAATAGAAAGTTTGTCTAGAAAATGTAAGAGGAAAGAGGAAAAGATGAGTGGCTAACTTAAAAACTAAAATCCATACCTGTTACTCTGGTAAATTTGATGATACACAATATATAAGTTTTATGTATTTCCTGTTCCATGATGAATTTCAAGTGAATGATAAAGGAAAGATCAGTTTCTCAAGAGATGTTTGGTTGTTACCCTAACAGAATCTAGAGTATCATTTGATTTTCCATAGAGTGATGTAGATATAATAGGACTTAAAAGACTTTAAACATACCTATGTATCTGGCATATGTGGTTTCTGCACCAAATTGTGGTTGGTAGGCTATGGAGAATTTGTTACTTGGAAATCTCTATTGTGTTCCTTCTTATATGGTAATAGCAGATATTTTTAATGGAACATAACTGATACTAAAGATACTTCAGTTTACTACTGAATGTAATGTAAGAAGTTGAATAGAAATCAAATCTTTTAATTTTTAAAAAAATGAATTTGAATGTGAAGGAATGTTTTAAGAATCAGCATTCATACTGATACTAAAAAATAAATGTTATGATTAATAATTGGAAAGGGGAAAAGGAAAGCCAGTTTATTTAGTATGACAAAGAGCGCAGGTGGGCAATCTGTAAGCCACATGCATTTATCACATAATTTGGTTTCAAAACAAATTCTTATTAGTGGCTTAATTATTTGCAGAAATGAGAGTAGAAATAGAAGTAGAACGTACTACTTCATTTCATTGCTATCAGGATTGCTTCCTGAATTATGAGATCCATATCATATATCATGAAGATCAGAAAAGGCAACACTTTGCTGCTTTGTTCTTCGAAGGGACATCTGTGTTCCAGCTTAAGGGAATTCTGGCCTTGTCCACTTCCCAGCATCTGGGCTCATTATGAACAGCTTCTTCCTGTACTTCTACTCCATTCACCCATTGTAGCAACATCCCAGTACGGTTGGGAAAAATGCCAGCACTACAAGTTACTGGGGTTTACAAGGCAAAAAAGGCTTATTGTCCTTGCTTTTGATGGCCTTCAGTACATTTGTTAACGTTATATGTTGTTATCATGGATATTTTAATTTTTGGACTAACATATTGTTGATATAGGTCATTGTTGTAAACTGCTTGAAGAATCGCAGATTAAGGTAGTATACAATACAATTTTAATAAATAAATGAAACTACAACCCAAAATTATTTCTATCTCTAACATCTTGGGAGATAAAGTGGTTATTAAACTTTGTATATGGTCCATCTTTCCCTAGAGTGATTTAAAGCTGCAGATGGAGGCCCAGCGTATTTGTCTCTCTCTGGTTTACTCGGCTCATGTGGACCAGGTGCGCGAATATATGGAAAATGAAAAAGAGAATGCACTTTCTGCTCTTAAAGAAGAGCTCCAGCTACGTCATACACAAGAGTTGTATGAGCTTAAGAAAAATCAGATTGTGAAGGATCAAAAAACAGGTAAATGGATGAAACAGAAGAAAATTATTTTTGGAATTCCAAGCTTCTTATAATACTCTCCCAGTAGCCCCCCCCTTAGGCCACACCTATAATTTCTTAAAATAAAACCTATTAAAATAAATATATTTCAGTGATAATTTGTCTCCATAGATGAAGAAGACCAGTCTGCATGGGTGCATCTTGAAGAACTTAGCAAGACAATAGTTGAAGAATGTTCAAAGCTCACTAAGGTGAAGAACAGCTTGTCTTAGAATTATTTAAGTTTTGTGTTTTTATTTTGCTCTAATCTTACAAAATGTTAAAATGCTATCCTGCGCTTTTTGTAATATTGCTAAGCTATAGTATAAATATGAGAACTGGGGAAAATGGATGAATCTTTTAGGCACTTACCTAATGATCTTTCCTGTAACAAAATTATCTTGTGATTCTTTATTGAATGAAAAACAATATTTCTATAAAAGCTTTATTGGTTTTTTCCAGCTTGCTAGGTATAATCAGTTATAAAATTATAACATTATATAATTATAACATTAATTTTTGTTGTTATTATAGTCAGTACATGAAATTCTTCCTGAACATTTTTCAAATGCTGTTGAACTTGGTGTTGGTGAGAGAAATCAATCTAACTCAGCATTAATGCCAACAGAAGACCTTCAAGGTAACTCCACATAAACTCTTATTGTGCAATCCTATATATGGCCACAGGACTTACTCCAGAGGAAGAGTATATAGGATTTAAAACATACAGGTAGTCCTCAGATTACGACCACTCATTCAGTGACCATTCAGAGTTATGACAGTGCAGAACAAGTGGTACTTACAACTGGTCCTTGAAGTTCTGGCCGTTGCAGCACCCACACGGTCACATGATCACCATTTGTGACCTTCCCTGATGGCTTCCCACAAGCAAAGTCAATGAGGAAGCCAGCAGGGAAGGTTGCAAGTTGCTCCCGTAGCAAGTCTCTCCTGTCGCAAGTCATTTCAATTGCTTTTTCTTCCGAGGAACCCCACTATGAAGTATGAGATCCCTTTTGTGCTCCATAGCATCCCCCACCTACTCACATTCCGTAGTGCCTGCCCATGGACACCCCCCCCCCCCCCCCATCTGCACTCCTGACTGTGCTCCTGCCTTTTCCTGCTTAACAGACCACACTGGCTGAGGTTACAACAGCACCCAGGACTGTCATTGGTAAGCAATGTGGTCATGTGATGTCACACTTTACAATTGCATTGCTTAGCAATGGAAATTCTGGTCCCAATTACTGTTGTAACCCAAGGACTACCTGTATAACATTTTTTTTTTTTTACAATACTTAAGTGTAAGTGGTGGTGGTGGATTTTCTGAAAACTGGTGGAAAAGTAGAATCAGAATTGATAATTGCAGACAAGGCTGGGAATGTGCCATGAAAATATCTATATGATTTCAGACATATCCACTTTAATGTTTATGAGATTATTTTCTGCAAACCTTATGCTGCTTGCAAGAAATATGCTGCATGTAACTGATTCTGTTTCAAGCATCAGAATGGATTTGCCTGCATTCTGTGGATCATTCTTAAAAAACAACTCAATATTTGCATTTATTTAATACTAAGAAGTCACAAAAAAGGGTGCTCACTCATAATTTGGTACTTTTATTTGAAGTAATTGGCAGAACTTGAATATTTGCATATATCCTTAGAATCTATGCTTATCATATAGTTCAAAGATTAACATCTTAGTGGGATACTATATGGTAATAGAATAATGTTTAATATAAAATGTATTTTAAAACAAGGAATAAACATCTACACTAGAATAATGCAATAATTATGTATATAGATAATTTATTCTCTGTAATTTAGTTTTGCAAGAAACCTTACAAAGTCTTCTGAATAATATAATGGAAAAGTCCCAGAGGCTGCTGGAATATCAAGTAGAATTCATAAAAAGCAGAAAAAAGGTGAGGTTCTTTTCCTTATATATAGATACAGTTCTTGAACACAGTGAGACATATTTCTGAATAAACTTGCATGAGACTGCATTAAATCTTGATTGATTAAATCTGTGCAGTACTGCAGGTTCATTTGATAGTCATAGTGCAATTTAATTCATTGATTTCAGTTGATATCCCTGTGACTATAGAATTTGTATCAATTTAAGTTGAAGAGGTTGCAGTTCTGTACCTAACTCTATTATGTTTCTTATATTACTGTACTGGGTTTATTTCCAGGTAAGTACAGGAGTTAAAATGTACACATATTTTGAAGGTACTTCCTGGTTTTGGCCCACCTGTTAGCTCAAGAGAGGAACTCCTCGGTGTCCCACATTTCTGAGATGTTAGGGAAACCAAAGCTTGAAGGTGCTACTTCTGTGTAGCAGCACCAATGCTGTGGAAAGGTGCTGCGCTGCATCATGCTGGCCCATCCCTGGTAGCCTCCAGGAAGTTTTTAAAAAGCTTTTTCAAAGAGCCTTTCAGTAACATCACCTGTACCTCTTGTTGTTAATCTTTTTCTCTCTGATTTTGTTTTTGTGATTTGGATTGAATGTGTTCTAATTCTGCTGGTGTTTTTATTGTGGCATTGTTTAGAGTTGTGAGATTACAGTGGTCTGAAAATTGAATAAATACATAAATAAGTACTCTGTTTCTCAAGACAAGTATAAATATCAGACAATTCGTGGTTGCATTCTTTCTGTTGAGCCTACTTTGGCAAATTCTGGAACTAAACCTTTTGACAGTGTAGTATTTATTAAAATTATTTAGTGCATTGTAAGAGAAAAGATTCATGTAGGAAGAAAAACATAGAGCTGTAGACTTTTAAAAATATTTGCATAATGTGTTTTTTCAAAAGATGTTGAATTAGAAATGTTCTGTTGCTCTAAATACGTTGTGATCTGAAGTATTAAGCCTACACTGTAATATTAAAATTTATGGTAAGCCACCCTGAGTCACCTGTGGTGAAATGGGTGGCTGTATAAATTGGTTTAATAAATAAATCATAAATAAATAAATAATGTGGGGAATACTAAGAAATAAATCTTATTGGGGCTTTCAGTGTATAGTGTCTTTTACTTAATAAATAAAATTATATTTAGTAAAATTAAATCTTAACTATGTCTTACATGCTTTAAAAACAGCAAAGCATTACCTGGACATTCAATTTTATTGGAATATTTGACAATATCAAACTTCATTAATATTTTGTTTAATTTTAAACGTATAAACAAGCATTGCCTTCCATTGAAAACAGCTGAAATAGTAACTTCAGCATTGGATGTATAAATATTTCCTATGTATTGTATTTACAGTTGTCCAGGTGATTACTACTGAATTCATGGAATATGCTACTAATTAATTTTATGAGCAGTACATTGTTAGAAGTGTAAAATTTTCAGAAAATTATAGCGTAGAAAAGTTTCTATTCTTATGCCACACATGATTATTACGACCATTTTTTAAAGTTAACATAGGTGTTTTTGTCTGCTATTTGATTTTAATTTCTCCAGATTGAAGGCCAGCTGACATACCCTGCTGATTATAATGAAAAAGAGACTGGCTGTCTTCAGCAGAATGTAGAATGTTTGCCTACTGTATCTCAGGATCTTGTTGGTAAAAATAAATTATTGTCAGATACTATTAATATAAGTAGACATGCATAGTTTTAAAACTTATTTGTATCATGTATATAAAAGCTATGCAAAAGGAAAGGTAATTACAGTGTAACAATCTTAGTTTTCTATATTTTGTAACCTGAGTATGTATTTAAGATCTTAAAATGTTAATACAGTGGTACCTCGGGTTACGAATTTAATCCGTTCCGTGACTCTGGTCGCAACCCAATTTGTTCGCAACCCGA